TTGGTATTTCACTGGTAGTAGTAATGGTTTACCACAAACACTTTTGGCCTTTGTCTTTGAGAACTCTATTGTACTAAAGTCCATTAGTGCACAAATTCTTCTAAATTGTGACGTCTACAAACCTTCAACGCTGCAATTAAGAAATATCGCTCATAGTTATGATGGAACATATGAGTTTCGATTAGCAAGAAAGGGCAGTACGTTATCTCCTTTTATATCTAAAGTCAGAGTTTTTGTTGCAAGTAAGTCATCCCTATTTTTATTAGCTATTTAACATTTTCATCAGTTTTAGAAATTTATGCTACTCATTTGAAAATTAACCAAATTACAGTATGTTTTATGTTGACCATTTTTGACCATTCTTTCTGTCTGAGGATGACTTTGAAATAAAGTCGAAAATTTACAGTTTACTTCTTGTCTTGTTTTGATTCATATTTTGTAATCTCAAGATGTCTTGTTTCTTCGGAATTTGTTTTATATTATACGTTTGCGTTTACAAGTTTTTTATTTACTTGAAGATTAGAAATATTTTTTAACATTTGTTTCCAGCCAATCATTTTTTGCGATGTTATGGACATTATCTAAAGATTTTCTAAATGACCTATGGAATCGTCAAAACCAGTTATGTTTGTATCATCAGCAAACAATCGATGTTTTGTTTTTGATGGACATTTTTGATGTCTAAAGCGAGAGTTTTTATTGCAACTTTGTCTATTTTTTGTGTTTTTGCATTTTTACCATTTTTAGAAATTTATACTTCACATTTGACAATTAATAAAACTACAATATGATTTATATCAAAAATTTTATATGAACGAGAATTCTTTTGACAGTAAACATCTTTTTGATAGCCTATAACGATGTAATCAACGTGATGAGAGTTGTTCCCTTTCTGTTACTCGATTACTCCAATTTTCCCGATTATACTGCAATTTGTCTTCCTATTTTTAGTGAAACCAACTATTATCATGACTAATTTAAGTGAAGAATATTTTTTGCTTTTAACTTCAGTGAAACCAAATGTGGTAATTTATTGTTCAAATCCTTTGGTTGTGAATGAAGGTGATAATGTATCATGTGTATGTAGAGGTGAAGGAGGTAACCCTCCTGCTAATGTCACATGGTTTGATAAAGATAACAACATAATTGGTGATGTTGGAGTTGTAAATAAGACATTAGTAATCACTAATGCTACAGTGAATGATGGTGCAAATTACAGATGTAAAGCACAGAGTTATAATGATCCACGTTTTAGAGATGAAAATCTATTGAAGTAACAGTGAAAGCTACTTGTAAGTTTGTAAGACAACATTTCAGACCTCATTATAAACGTTTGTGTAGAATATTGAATTTAATTTTATACTTTAAAGATCCACCACAACAAACCAATATTACCATCAGTCCAATGTCAGTAAAAAAAGGTCAAAAAGTGATAATAACCTGTGAATCAGTTGGTTATCCTGAACCAATCTACACTATTTATCATAATGGTTCAGTTATCATGCAGTAATAATAAGACATACATCATTCAATCTGTCAACTTCAATCACCAAGGTTCATATCGTTGTGAAGCAAAGAATAAACTGGGAAATGATTTATCTGATGTTAAAAATCTTACTGTCATGAAAGGTAAAATTAAAAGCTGAAAACCAGAATTTTCAGAGCACTAACCATGTTAACTCATGATTTTATTTTCAAAGATCATAAGCATTAAAATTCATCATTTAATTTTTAGTAAAATGGTAAAGACAAATTTAGTATTTTCGACTGTTACATTGATCACATTTCTTGGTCTTGCCAAAGGTATTTAACTTCAAATATCCATTTCTTTTTTTTACTTAAATGATTTTTGATGTATTTTTATTTGTTGTTGTAGTAATATTTAATTTGTTTACTTTTTATTCGCAATTTTTGAATAGAACCTGAATTAAAAACATCAATTACTTTTGTTATGTTAGTAGAAGATGTATTTTTTCTTGAACTATCTTTTTATCAGTCATAGATTTTAGCTAAATTTCAATTTCAGGAACAATAACATCTCCACCTGATGGTCAAAGATTTGTATTTTTACCTGGATCTTCTCACAATATAACTTGGACATTAAATGATACTGAAAACATTAATTTATGGCTTTGGACTTTTACACCTCGTGGTTCATCTTCCTCTCAACAACTTGCAAGATTATTTCCTATTAGTGACAAACCTCAATATTCACCATCACCTTTAACATTTGAAGTTTTTAAACCTGGAACTTTGAGGCTGAAGAATGTAAATCAAATTTACAATGGTGAATTTACATTTACTATTTCAACTATTCCTCCTACTCCTCCATCAAAAGTAAATGTTTATATTGCTGGTAAGTTTTAATTATTTAATCTTTCTTGTATTGCATACATTGTTCTGAGTATTTAATAGGGGAAACTTGGCCTAAGAAATTTTGCCGAAGAAACGTTTATAACTGTTATTGTGTCGTTGCAAACTTTCTTTTTCGGAGTTGGACCTTTAGTACATTTGACATTGCTTCTGCAGCTCATGCAATTGTAACAATAAGTGGCAATAATGGAGACCCAAAATATGATACATCAGTCCTTAAGTCATTTGGTTTAAATGTTGAAGTTTTTAAACCTGCAACTCTAATGTTAAAGAATGTTACTCAAAGTTACATTGAAGTTTATAAATTTACCTAACTCTTGATCGTATTGACTCATTTGTAAACGTGTCTATTGCAAGTAAGTTGTATTTATTATTTTTAACTTAGCAGCGGGTTATCCAAGCCTTTCATGTAATCTGAGCAACTGTAGCATTGGGCGTAATTATACGATATATGACCGCAGTCTGGAATCCTAAAGCCAAATTCTTGAGCCGTTGAGCGAAGACAAATGCGAAGACTTGTTTTGTTTTGTTTTAATTTAAAAAGGAAGTTGTAAGGCATCTTTTGATTTGAATAATCTATGTTAAAGTGCTTGTATCACAGATTTTACTACATTTGAGTATAGGACTAAGAATAAGTTATTGATACTACTTTCGACGTTTTGATACCACTTTCGACTTTTGTGGTATAAAATTTGATATCAATTGATCAACTGGTAATATCACTATTATGTCTCGCCGAACAAAGAACAGTCTATCCACGCTTATATGATTTCATAATATTACACTGCTAGTGTAAAAAAACTTCTCTCGACAAGAGCACAGTATGCGCATGCGAATTGTCACCAGTCTCTTGATTAGTAACTGTAGGGAGCTTCCTTTAGACAAGATCAACATCAGCTCCTTCATATGCAGTGCTTTGATTGAAGTCTTTCGCTAACAAGTGACTTTTCAAGGTTTACTGTCCGAGAAAGCCACCGAGTATTCGAATTCTTTACTGTAAGGATAGCTCACTTTTGGATTTATCATTGCAAATGCCATAATACCTAGAGACTCAATATATCCGCCTTTTTCAAGCTATCCTGTCATGCCATTGTTTGTCGACCAAGGGTTTCTGGTGCCATATAAAAAGGAGAACCATGTAAGTTTCGTCTGTTCTCCATTTTACGAAGAACTATGTCCATGTTTGAACATCCAATAGTACTCAATCCAAAGTCAAATAGTTTGCATGAAATTGGCTTTAGATATCTATGGACTGTGTTCTCTCTGTACTGGTACTCAAGACCGTTCACAATGTCTTAAATCATGAAATGTCTTAAGTCTGCTTTTTGTCTAAAAACGACAGAGGCGCTATTTATCAAGCTTAATGATCGGGTCCTTTGTCGATAGAAACAGTTCATTTTTAAATTGGCTTTATTTTGATGAGGACTCGTTCTCCCACGCTTGACTAGTCATTATTAAAACAACTGCTATATAAATACAAGTATAAGTTGATTCACCTTTAACAGATAGCAGACGTTGATACCTGACAAGTTGTCTGCCGAAATTCATAGTGTCTTAAATTTCTAAAACAGTTCTTTTCCGAACTCTTAATTTTTTCTTGATTTTTTCTTTGTTTTTCTGGTTAGTTTTTTTCTCGGTTTTATCTTGGGTTTCGTGTTTTTTTATTTGGTTTCAGTCCATTCACTATGGCAATTGTTCTCTTTAAGGCGATATTCAAATTTGTCACCACGACAAAGTCGCTGGTTTATTTATTATTGGATTATTTAGCGTAAACTATCAGCATTGTTTTCCATAGTTAACATGATTTTTAACTAAGCCTAAACAAACGCTTATAAAGAAACTCTGCATTTTCTACCCAGCTCCCCAGCATGGTGGAAAATGTCGAGTTAAAAATTTCTCAATTGTAAACAAACACTCAGTACTCCGCACTCCAAATTTTCCACAATGCCATAAAAATAAGACAATTATGAGCTATTGGTTTGTTTTGTCATGAAAATATATTCTTATATATAATATTTTGGTTGAATTTGGCAAAGGAAATCCGTGTTTACGATTCAAATTTCAACCAAGATAGAGAATATCTTTGTACTTTACTCCTTGGGATCGGCTGCAATTCACCTATAGTCAATAAAACTTATCGAAGTTATATATAATGTTGCTTTCCTAAATTCCTAATGGCGATTTTTATTTATCAATTACTTTTCACCTTATATTGATTTTCTTTATTTTGAAAATTGACTGAAATATTTCTGTTTTTGTTTTCAGTGAAACCAAATGCGACAATTGAATGTTCAACTCGTCTGGTTGTGAGTAAAGGTGATAATGTATCATGTGTATGTAGAGGTGAAGGAGGTAACCCTCCTGCTAATGTCACATGGTTTGATAAAGATAACAACATAATTGGTGATGTTGGAGTTGTAAATAAGACATTAGTAATCACTAATGTTACATTGAATGATGGTGGAACTTACAGATGCAAAGCACAAAGTTATAATGATCCACGTTTTAGAGATGAAAATCTATTGAAATACAAGTAAAGCCTATATGTAAGTTTGTAAGACAGCATTTCAGATCTTATTATAAACGTTTACAGAATATTGAATTTTGTTAATTCTATACAGATCCACCACAACAAACCAGTATCACCATCAGTCCAATGTCAGTAAAAAAAGGTCAAAAAGTGATAATAACCTGTGAATCAGATGGTTATCCTGAACCAACCTACACTATTTATCATAATGGTGCAGTTATCAGTTATAAAAAGACATACATCATTCAATCTGTCAACTTCAATCACGCTGGTTCATATCGTTGTGAAGCAAGAAATAAACTGGGAAATGATTTTTCTGATGTTAAAAATCTTACTATCATCAAAGGTAAAATTAAAATTTCACTTCATCAATTTTTTGGGCTAGTATTCTACCTTGTACATGAACAAATTACGACTGTTCAGTTTCATCCCATTTGTACACGATAGTACAAGATTGTGCTGAACAATGAAGATAGTTATATATTTTTCTTTGTTGGCGAGATTTAGATTCGTTGTGCTGAAAGACTACCACTGCCAATTATGATTGACTCTTAAGCCTACATCTCATATACCCCCTTTTGCTGCCTGCTACGCTGACGTATGCATCTGTCGTCACCTAGCTGTTAACTTTGGCTATTGCATATCGTCATTAAATATGTTATCAAAAGCCTTAGACGACTATGATTTGTTTATAGTTCTTCGAAGACCAACGATAGTTGTTTAGGCTTCATAATAAGTCAATATTGTTTATATCTAGTCGGTCACGCCATATAGTTTCAAAATTTCAAAATTTATTATTAATATACATCTTGAAAGTTGAGTGATTATTGTTATTTTGTTGTTCTTTTCCAACATCAAAGTCTTTTTTACAAATGAAATTTTCATTGAGCAAATTGCTTAATAATGTAGTGGTTTAATGCAAAAATCTCATTGGATAGCAGTTTAGTGAAAAATTTGCACTAATTTGGACTTTTAGCGAGTGATGAGCGGGCTTCCTGCTGGCTTGTGACTGGTTAGGGCATCGATCCAACACTCCTAAGAAAATGCACCTAACACTGACGACTACTCTCATTATTAATTTTCTTTTTCTTAATTAAATTAAGAAAGGAATATTTTCTGTTTTTAATTTCAGTGAAACCAAATGTGGTAATTAATTGTTCAATACCTCTGGTTGTGAATGAAGGTGATAATGTATCATGTGTATGTAGAGGTGAAGGAGGTATCCCTCCTGCTAATGTCACATGGTTTGATAAAGATAACAACATACTTGGTGATGTTGGAGTTGTAAATAAGACATTAGTAATCACTAATGTTACATTGAATGATGGTGGAAATTACAGATGTAAAGCACAGAGTTATAATGATCCACGTTTTACAAATGAAAAATCTATTGAAGTAACAGTGAAAGCTACTTGTAAGTTTGTAAGACATCGCTCTTTTATAGCATTCTTTAGCTCTAGCCACACAATGCAATTAACATCTCGACCTTTTCCTTAGACTTAATGGAAATGTTCAATCAAAATGCTCCAATCTTGTTATCATATGTATATTAGTATTGTATACAGATGAAATCTTTTGATTTTTTTCCATATTTTTAAGTTCTATGCTTCTTCTCTAGACAACGTTCTTTGTGATGACCAAAAAGAGAGAATAAAACAGTGCAAAACAGAATGGTACATTATTTTAATAACTTTAACATCTGGAATTATCGTTGGAATTTTGGTTTCTATTGTTTTTCAATATCGCCGACATTGCTTTTGTAAAAATTGTCAACAATTTCAATCTCCATCTGAAGTTAGGAAAAATTCTGTTGATACAACTTATCAAGAATTGGATTTATCAAAAATTAATAATAAAGAAGATAATTATCAATCATTGAGACCAAAGGAGGACACAATTGATAAAACTTATCAAGAACTGTACATATCGAAAAGGAATATAGAAAATGATAATTATGAATCGTTGCAAAAAAAATAATGAATCGGAGTACGAGATTATGAGAAGAAATTATGAGAACAGTAATTTGTTTCAAGAAAATCATAAATTTATTCTAAACATGTGTTTATAAACATTTTCCATGTTGTAAAGTCACAATGGCGCTTTTACGAACATTTACATTTTCTGATAAGATTTGAATTTTGCATCTTTTCCTCCCATTGGAGCTGCCAATACTTTATGATTTCCAGAAGGAAGCCATTTTTGGATGAGAAAATACACTGGTCATTCTGACTCATTCATTGGTTGTTTTTGATAACAGTGTAAGGTAATACTGTTTTTGAATAAGTATTTTCTATTTATCTTACTATACACCTGCCTTCCTGACTTATTTCCTGTGTGTACCAAATTGTTTAGAACAGGATCACGAAAAGGCCCTGAAAAAGCACAAAATCTTATTTCTGATGAACCTAAATCGTAAATTTCAAAATTTGTCTTTGATTAGGGAATGCCTTGAGACCCTTCTAGTTAAGAGAAGACCATAGTTGGATAGTTAAGAACACCTTTAGTGATCTACTATGGAGCGCCAATCGTAACAAAAATTATTTACAGTTTATATGGTCTCATTTTTAATACAGGGCTAGTGGGTTGTTCGACAACACAAAGAGAGCCTCAAAAATGCGGCGACCTTTAGAAAATTTACCGTCTTAATACTTGAAATATAAACAAATGTACTGGAGAATCCCGACTGTTTAATATCGCAATGCTCCAGACATACAAAAACCTCCATCATTCGGGAGCAACAATAAAACTTTTAACGTTTTAATATTTCATTCTCAATCTGAATACTAAAACAATAAGAGCAATAACTTTAACTTTATAAATCAAAATTTCAAAATTTATTATTAATATACATCTTGAAATTTGAGTTATTATTGTTATTTTGTTGTTCTTTTCCAACATCAAAGTCTTTTTTACAAATGAAATTTTCATTAAGCAAGTTGGTTAATAATGCAGCGGTTTAATCCAAAAATCTCATTGGATAGCAGTTTAATGGAAAATTTCCACTGATCCGAAATGATATTGATGGATAAGCGTGTATATAGCTTGTAGCTGACATTTCAGCTGGGCCACGCTTATACATCTCGGATTCCCGTTGTAAGAAAAATATAAACTATAAAAAGAAAATTTCAATGGTTACCAAATCAATGGGAAAATTAGACTAATCTGAACTTTCTAATTAGCGTACTGCCTGCTGGATTTGCCAGGGCAGGGCCATGAACACTTACACATCTCGAAGTCCCGTCTGGTCCCGTTGCACCAACTTTTTTCTTTTCTATTGTTCTTTTTATCGTTGTGAAGCCATGATTAAACAGGAAAGTTTAAAATCTCACTGTCAACGAAGGTAAAAGGACGAATTTTACTCTTTCATTTGTTTTGTTGATCAAATATCATTCTTTTTGTATTTCATGTCATGTTCATCTTAAAATAATAATGGTTTTCACCAAAGTTGCTTGACTATGTATACTTTCCATTTAATATATAATGATCTTGAATGTATTGATCGATAGTTAGGCCGATACAGACTGAACAATGTTTTTAATTTGACTTGTTTACAGTTAGTTTAACAGTAAAGATAAGTCGCTGTAGAGACTTCAGTTGCATTTTCATCTCTTTTGACTTTTGATTTTAGTTGATGTAAGAACGAGTTGATTTCTGTGTATTTAGCATTTGTCGTTTGGTTTTTTGCCATAACCTGTGAATTTGTTTAACAACTGTATCTCCGAATTCGGTAATTTTATATTGATTTTAGTAAGTTTTGGAGCTTGGCTTGGTTTTTATTGATTTCAGTAAGTCTATCCCTGTGCCAAAAAGAGTAGGAATTTGTCTTTGGCACTTGGCTACCAATGAAGATTTGCGTTCTTTAGCTTGGCGTTTTGGTATAGGAAAAAGTACAGCCTGTGAAATCGTGAACGAGGTTTGCCAAGCTATTGTTGACGTGTTACTGCGTCTTGTTATCAAATGGCCAACGGGCGATAGACTGCAGAGTATCGTTGATGCCTTTCTAACGACATGGGGCTTCCCTCAATGCGCTGGAGCCATTGATGGCACTCATATTCAAATTGTAGCACCTTCAAATTCTGCACAAGATTACTACAATCGAAAAGGATTCTACTCTATTGTTCTCCAAGCTGTTGTTGATCATCAATACATGTACCAAAACGTACTGCTTTTGTCAAGGTTGACTTAATAAGTTTTTGCCTCCCTGTTATGCAACTGGCATTTTTCACCTTCTAACGGTTTTTAGATCCCATGGGGGGGGTTCAACAGTGATGTAAAATAGGTTTCTTATTAATTTAGACATGTGTTTCAACCAGTTGAGTAAGTAAGTTACACAAAGTGAATTAAATTACACACACTTAGAAAGTAAAAAAATATATATTTAAAAATTTTGAAGATTCACTGACATTTGCATAAAGTGGCCAGGTCGAGTCCATGATGCAAGAGTTTTGTCAAACTCGGGAGTGTTTGCAAAAGCTGAAGCAGGAAAACTTTTCCCAGATGTAAGTTTTCTGTTCTTATAATGAAAAGCTTATCTTAGGTCAGAGGCAAATTTTACTGCATTTTTGATAATAGCCACTAGAAAATTCATGGTCTTGATATACTCTAGGGAGGAAAAGAGATATGTGGTTGCAATGTACCATTCATGCTTATTGGTGATCCAGCATATCCACTGTTACCATGGTTGATGAAGAGGTATCCTAACGATGGCAATCTCAGTCCTGCTCAAAAGAAATTTAATTACTACATAAGTCGAGCAAGGCAAGTCGTGGAGTGTGCATTTGGCCGTTTAAAAAAACAGATTCAGATGCCTACTTAACAAGAATTATACAAATTTAGATCATTTGCCTATGAAAATTGCAGCATGTTGTGTTGTACACAATATTTGTGAGAGTAGAGCTGACAAACTTTTTGCAGATTATGTTGAACTTATCCCTGATGATGAAATTTCAGAATTTGTTTTACAGAATACAGATGCAAGTGCAGAGCAAATTAGAAATTCTTTAACTGAGTTTTTGATAACACAATAAGCCGACGATAGCTAAATTACTCATGTTCTTAAATTAAATCAAAATTTGTAATATGTTTGTTGACTTTCAGCATCATGGTGAACATTGTAGAATGGTTGTTGCACAGGCTGAGACCTCATTGCTATTGCATTTGCAAGAAGTGACATTGACTCCTTATAAACATTAAGCTCTTCCTTTCGCAACTCTCGCTCTTTTTCTGCTTCTTTTTTCATTTCTGACAAAAACATTTCATCAGACTCCTTGGGATATTTGTTATGCTCTTTTATTGCATTCTCGAATGCCACTTGCATGCTGGAGGGCTTTCCCTTTCCCCTTATTCTTTTCCTTGGCACTGATTTGTTTTCACTTTGAGATGGTAGGGATTCCTCATTTGCTTCACTAGGTAACTTCTCGTCTGCATTACTGACATCTACATAACATATCTCATAAATGTTACGACGTAATAAAACAAAATATAGTACACACATGCAATGCTCTACTGTTCACCTGCTTCAATGTAATCGCAATATGGGCAAACAAGTCTGTCATCATCAGCGTATACTGCAGTGCTGTTTCCAACATGGGCTCCTGCTGTCCTAAGCTCCACAAACTCATCGCACTGAGGACATTTTTTTTCAATGATCCTCCCGTGTCCGTATTTTCTTGTAAGCTCGTCTGCTATGAAACGGAAAACCAATATTTTCATTTGCAAAAAACCACTCGATATCAACTCATCCACGATAACTTACCATCATCATCATGCCCGTTAATGCTTTTTATTTCAGCATCAGCTGATGAACACGTTGATTCATCAGATGTATCGATGACGTTTTTAGACCCTTGCTTCTGGTCTGTCACCCATGAAATTGTCCATAACGTTAAAGAATTTAGGTTCCTTGCCTCTCCCAGCTCCTGATCGTGATAATGTGTCTTTGAACTTTTGTATTCAGATTTCATATGCTTAAATTTAGTTCTACATTGCGTCCAATCACGATCTATCCCTTTTTTCATTATAATGCTGATTTTTTATAAATATCAGCGTTTTTGTAGGTACCTTTCAACTTTTGTTGAATTTCTTCTGTACCGTACGCTTAGAGGAGGGCTAAACAGTCTTTTTCTGACCAAACCTCTCGTTTTTGCGCCATTTTCCAAGCTTTTTTCTCTGTTTTGATTTTAAATTTTGAGAAAAACGTCCGCGTTTTGGCGGAAACGGCATGGGAGCGAAACTGTTCTATCGAAATAAGCTCGCTTACGCTCACATATAAACCGGATCGATCTCAGATCGATCTCAAATTTTAGCGAAGGTTCACACTTAGCTCGCTTTACGTTACATCGATCTCAGATCGATCTAAACGACCAGTGTGAACAAGCCCTTGGTCACGGTGGGCCACACTGATTAAATACATCTATTTTATTCAATGTATTTTGGTTCAATGATCACCACTTAGCATTCCAGTTATATCATTTCAATTAAAATACGCCATTGAATTACCATATTGAATATTTTGAGTGAATATATGCACAGAAATATGAAATACGCCCATCGAACTGCATAATCAACAACGACATCACGTACGTCAAACGTTGCGAAGCAGGAAATTGATTTTTTTTCTGAAATTCTCACGGAACAAAACCAAATTACATGGGTATGTTACATTTTGCTGTATTTTTAGTGGAATAACGTACTTGTACTTGTTGAGCTCTACCTGTAGAGCGTCGGACTAGTATCCCGAAGGTGCGAGTTCAAATCTCGTCCAAGTCACATGTTTTTCATGTGCATATTAAAAACCGTGTTAGGATTAATATATTATATATATTCTCTGATGATGGCTTTGGAATAATAAGGGCCTGATTACATGGGAATAGGGTAACCATACTTGCAAGGCTATCTTTTTGTGTAGGTCACCCTATGAATATACTTTGATGAAGATCTCTTTAATTTAACGTCGCTTTAAACAAAACTTTTTAAGAATTTTGATGCATTTCGAATTTATAATTTTAAAAGACCAAGACGAAATACTACATTAAATACTAAATGAGTATGTTGGGTTTTATTTCTTCTTTGATTCTTGATAATATTTCTGTACTTCCTGTTGTATTGTTTAGTTACCAAACTAATAAGGGCCTGTTTACATGGGAATAGGGTAACCATACTTGCAAGGCTATCTTTTTGCGTAGGGTGACTCTACCATTGACAGGTCTGTGTATTACTGTTAATGACAGCAACATCAGCATGTTGTAGACATGATTGCAGATGAAACATTTTGGCTTCATTGAGGCATATTTATAAAGATCCATAATTCAGTAAAAGACCTCCGAAAATTGTTTCAAATTCATTTTCATTATTCATTATATTATATTCACAATGAAGACTTAGCATTCATAGAATAAAAATCTTTGCCATCTCGAAAACTTCCTTGTAGATGGTGGATGGGCTCTAGTTTTATTGTTTGTCTCTGTAAAGTCATGTAGTGCATCTTGTGTATAATTTTATGCTCAAAGCAATTTATTTTCCCAGATATGCAAATATTTTGAGTAGATATGATGTGAACATAGCCCTACTGAAAGGGATTACCTTATCTCAAACATTTTTATGGTTTATGAAATAAAACATAACCTACTGTTTTGGTAACCTTATCAATTTGATATGGAAACCCTAACTCTCAGGGTTACCCTAGCACACATGTCAATGCTACATATAAAGCAATTTCACGTTGGGTAACTTGCTTGCTAATATAACCCTTCTGCTAGGGTTACTTAACCTCCATGGGCCTAACAATTACTATATTTTATCATGAATCATACTGTAAACATTTGCCCATAAGCCTTGAACTTATATAATTTTGTATGCCTTCTTTCTTGGGCTTATTTTTGTGGAGTGAATGCTTAGATTATATTTTATGGCAGTCATCAGCACAGTATACACAACACAGTCTTTATTGACAATAGTATGAAAATTCAACTGACAAAACATCAAAACATAGTCAAAGTATGTGTGAACAGTTTACAAATACATTAATTCTTATCCTGTAATAAATAAATGCTTGTGGGCTTTTCTGTGGACCGAGTTGAAAACTTAACTAACTTCCAGTTGCAATAGTTACAAACAGTTAGTAAACAGTTACTATTACTTAAGAATTACACAAAATTACTTTCCTGTACAGCTAACTGTCTTTTCCTAAAGTTCATTTTGCTAAAACAATGTCAATTCTCATCTATAACCAATGTTTCTTTTGTAGTTTGTGTATTGACAGAAATACTTTAATTACATAGTTAAATGATTTAAATTTCAAGTTCATTCTGTTGAGAACATTAGGAAAGTTAGACCTCAAATTTGGTTGTGCCATGTAAATTTCACAATCTAGTGAACTCATGAATAATTTACATAGCAGAACTAAAGATATGCCACTGGTCACGTACGATAATTGTAATGTGAGGTGTAAATGTATCCAACGATTCACAATTTTTAGGAAACAGTATTTATGTTCATCTTATGCTTTCCCAATCAAGTCAATAAAGAAAAATATTTACTGTGTTTACACAGGCTTATGCAAACTGAGGAGACCTTTTGGAGAACTTGAGAGTTGATCAGTGCAAAGCAGGTTTTGCACCAGCTTGAGCGTTCTCACAAAGATCTCTGAGGTTTGCATAAGACTTTCAAGGTTTGCGTTTTAATTTTCTACAAAGTGCTTTAATGAACGGTTTGCAAAATATCTTTAATTGATTGAGGTTGAGCTACGATCGATTTACCCAGGCTTATGCAAAGTCAGCCTTTGACCAATCAGCGCACATGTTTTACTGTTTTTATCTTATAAAGAAAATTAAAACACAAAAAGTTTATTGCAATGATAAAGATTTTTCTGTGGTAGAATTAATGGAACATATTGCTACGCAAAATGTTGCCCATTTACGAGTAGAAATTACTATTTATTTTGATGCACCATGTTTAGTTCTGTGTACTGGAGATGGGCTGCAGCGCCGGCTATTTTTACCATTTCAGAATTGACAAGCCGGAGCTGAAAAACCGGAATTTTCACAGCACTAACCATGTTAACTCATGATTTTATTTTCAAATATCATAAGCATTAAAATTCATCATTTAATTTTTTAGTAAAAATGGTAAAGACAAATTTAGTATTTTCGACTATTACATTGATCACATTTCTTGGTCTTGCCAAAGGTATTTAACTTCAAATATCCATTTCTTTTTTTTACTTAAATGATTTTTGATGTAATTTTAGTTGTTGTAGTAGTAATATTTAATTAGTTTATTTTTTTATTCACAATTTTTGAATAGAACCTGAATTAAGAACATCAATTACTTTTGTTATGTTAGTGGAAGATGTATTTTTTCCCTAAACTATCTTTTTATCAGTCGTAGGTATAAGCTAAATTTCAATTTCAGAAACAATAACATCTTCACCTGATGGTCAAAGATTTGTACTTTTACCTGGATCTTTTTACAATATAACTTGGAGATTTGATGTTACTCGAAACATTCTTGTATGGGCTTGGAGTTTTACACCTCGTGGTTCATCTTCCCCTCAACAACTTGCAAGATTTATAGATAGTGGCAACACACCCCAATATTTGTCACGACCTTTTGCATTTGAAGTTTTTAAAACTGGAACTTTGTGCCTAGAGAATGTAAATGAAAGTTACAATGGTGAATTTACATTTACTATTTCAACTACTCCTCGTACTCCTCCATCAAAAGTAAATGTTTATATTGCTGGTAAGTTTTAATTATTTCAATCTTTCTTGTGTTGTATGCATTGTTCTGAGTATTTAATGGGGGAAACTTGGCCTGAAAATTTTGGTGAAAAAACGTTTATAACTGTTATTGTGTCGTTGCAAACTTTCTTTTTCGGAGTTGGACCTTTAGGACATTTGACAATGCTTCTGCAGCTCATGCAATTGTAACAATAAGTGGCAATAATGGAGACACAAAATATGATACATCAGTCCTTAAGTCATTTGGTTTAGATGTTGAGGTTTTTAAGCCTGCAACTCTAATGTTAAAGAATGTTATACAAAGTTACATTGGTGTTTATAAATTTACCTAACTCCTAATCCTATTGACTCATCTGTAATGTGTCTTTTGCAAGTAAGT